TATTCAATTTTCATAGTATTAAAATTTAACAATGATGTGCTTTAGAAATTGTCATTTCTTCTTTATTTATCGTTTTTTTCTTCCTAAAATATTGGGCGTTTTTAATAAAACAGCAAATTGTTCTCAAGTTTATTTCTTTTTCATCAAAAAAAAAAAAAAGCAAAAACAAAAATGAAAAAAAGATAGCACTGAAAATGGTATGGTTTAAATATTTCGAAATTCAAAACAATATATGTTTACTAGTTATCGAAAATTTAAATAACTAATTGATTGATTTCAACAAATATAAATATATGCATGAAATGAAAAGTTTTAAATTTCAATTGTCTTAACCATTTCATCATGCAAATTTTAAGTTCAAATCATTTTTTTCAGATTGAAAAAACCAAGGAATTCAGATTTTAAGTTCAAGGAATTTTGTTTTTTTTGAATCTAAAATTTGCATAATGACATGGTTAAAAAAATTTGAAATTTAAAAATTTTTATTTCACACATATACATGTACTTATTAAAACTAACCAATCAATTGTTTAAATTTTAGTTTTGAAGAATTATTGTTGATTTCTTTTAAACTCAAAATTTGCATAAAATTAATAGCAAAATGAAATGAACCATAATCAATCGATCAATGCTTGTTAAATATTAATGGTACATTAAATCGAAAAATTCAAATGATATTATGATTGAAATTTAGTTGTTTACTTTCCATTTCACAATAATTTCCATTGTCATTTCTAGCTAATAAATACCAAAGTGTCCTTAAAAAATGAAAAAGTTTAAATTATTTTTTCCTCCGTTTTTTTAAAATTAAAAATTTTTAAATGACATCAATATTTGTCATAGATTTATATGCAACATTTTTAATCATTACTTACTTACTTATTTACTTATCTACTTACTCAAAATTGATCACTTACCTTACTTATTTACTTACCCATTTGTTCACCACTGATTACAGAATACTATTATTAGCAGTATAAATATAAACAATATGTTTAGTTACTAATTCCTTGTTTATTTACTTATTTATTTATTTACTGACCTACTTATCAGTGATTAAGGGTACTGTTGTTAATAGTATAGGTATATATGATTAGTTACTAATTAATTACCTAGTTTGCTCATTTCTTTATTTACTTATTTGTTTAATCACTTGTTTACTTAATTATTGTTAGCACCATAGATATTAGCACAACAAGTTTAATT